GGTTAACAGAACTTGGGGCGCTACATTAGCAATACATCTCACATATTTGATTAAAGTTGTAATTAATTTTAACTCAATCAAATACAAAGTCATCGTGGGTTCGACACTCTATTCATCACTTTATTACTTGACCACGATCATGTGCACTTGCGGGAAATCAAACGATCAGTAGGGACATCTCGAAATCAAGCTATAGTGCCTATTGACGACTTGTTGAAAAGTGTTGTCGAATTAAAGATAGAAGAAGAGGATGTGGAGATCTCATTCAAAATAACTATCTGGAAGGGAAAAGGGAAAGCGTAGGGAGTAGAATTGATGTTTATGTTTGTGACGCTTATGTAATTGTAGCTATCAATCAAACTTGTGTAATCGGATATTACATGTATTTATTTTAACTTTTGGACAGTGCTAGTTGTAGTAGCACTGAAATTTTCTTACGATATTACTTATGTATATGTTAACTTAGATGTTTATGTTAACTTTTGGACAGTGCTAGTTGTAGTAGCACTAAAAATTTCTTACGGATATTACTTATGTATATGTTAACTTATGTTTATGTTAACTTTTGGACAGTGCTACTGATGTTTATGTTAACTTTCGGTTGTATTTTATTCCGTGGTGAGCAGAACATTTCAATTGTAGAAGAAAATGAATGGACCTTGGACAATACATTTCAATATTCACGGATAAAATTTTACACAAGGCCGATCAGTTGACAAATATTGGACACAAAACAGGACTTGCTTTACTTTGCTTCCACATAAGTTTAAACGAGAAATTTGAATCTTATATCTTGAATATAGAACCAAATTCTAATGAAGAAGCAATCTGTAATAAATATTCTAAAAAGTTGCTTGTAGTAGTAATGCAAGAGAATAAATGAATTCAGTAATAAAAGCCTGGAACTTGTTTCTTAGTAGAAACCAATTGATACTAAAATCATAGATTGACACAACCTAAACTCATTCGAAGATAATCTGCCCAATAAATTAAGGTTTTCATACATTTCAAAATTCCAACATTTCCAACACAAGTGAAACGAGAAGCAATCCAACATCATGTTACATATCAGTTTCGAAATAGCTGTAACTCAAAATACAAAAGGTTCAAAATAAGAGATTGTCTCCATTACAAATACAATAACAGGTTCCACATCCCTGAATTATCCCTCCATCAAGTTCATCACACTACTTACAATTACATCCAAATATGCCGACTAGTTCGTTATCCTCGGATTCAATTTAGAATTTCCTAGAACATGTACATACTGCAACCAATAACCTAGTCAAACATTAATTGAAATGATTCCGGAATGAAAAGGCAGATAAGACTTTCATAGATATAGTTACACCTTTTTTCGACCCCTTAATTTCTTCGAATTCGTCTCCAACGGACTTTTTTTGCGTAATTTTTTCGATACACCTTTGCTTTTTGTAAGTTTCGGATTCAGAATGTGCAGACTTTCATCATTTCGATCTTCAAGTACATGCGCATCCAAGTTACTACGATTCTATTTAGACAATTCGATTGTTTGGACTTCAATCCACCCCAATAGACGATTTGAACGTTCCAAGTCTTCCATCTTGGTAAAAGTCAGACACAACCTCTCATATCTTAATTGTTCAGCCGTAGACACCAAACCTTTGTACATTGTTGGGACCCACATGTACGGTCTACTGATATCTCTCCTCCATCTCCGTAAGACATACTTATGGGGAAGCAAATGTACATCATTCCGAATTAAAACTAATATTGAGTGTCTACAAATAATATCGCGAAACTCAAACAAATGACAATTGCTCTCGATTTCATAACTATCTCTATGAAAACAAACAGTAAATTTTTTTTCTTCATTCCTCCACTGAGAATGATATCCTCCCTGATTTTGTACTTAGTTTGCTCGACGAAGTCTTCGGCAGATAATACTTCATAATAAACCTTTCCTATGAATTCTTCTTGGAACTCCCTGAATTTTGTGATAGTATATACACATCATGAAAATGTTTCTCCAAATCATACTTCGTGGCATACGGAACCATTTGTGAGAACAATCTAAAATCAGCTTGAAATTCCTTCTCCACTTTACTTCTTAATGCCCGCTCGTACTGCTCTACAAAAAGCTTTAAAGATGTTTTCGAATGTACATAGCTGTCAAAGAATGCATTCATCCTCTTATTTCGTTGTGTGGTTGACATACTAGGCCAAAATGTATTTTTCAGGTAGCATGGTACCTAACAACTTCTCTCATTATAGAGTCCATTAAACCAATCATGATCTCTTAATTCAAAATGATCAAGCATATTCGACCAGCCTTCTTCAAATTCTTCACAACTTAATGTTTCATAGACTAACATATGTGTAGCATGCATTATTGCACCTTTGGCAATGTGATAGCTAAACTTCTCGAGTAACTTCTTTAGTATATGCACAAGCACCATCTATGCCTAGTGTTAGGGAACACAATTTGAATAGCATTTTGCATAGCTCGATCTTGATCTGTAATTATTCCATTAGGAGCTTGGCCATTCATGTATTCTAACCATGTCCTAAATATCCAAACAAATGTATTAGTATCTTCGTTCGAAACCAAACCACACCGCAGAAGAGTTGATTGCCCATGGTGATTCACCGTACGAAAGGAGCGAACGGCACATCATATTTGTTAGTTAGGTATGTAGTGTCAAAAGTAATGACATCCCCAAATTCCTTACATGCTTCCCGACATCTGTTATCTTCCCAAAAAACATTTCTCAAGCGATACTCTTCATCCGAGCCTATAATGAAGAAAAATCTAGGACAACGTGCTTGCATTCTCGAGAAATATGCTTGTATTACTGTAGCATCTCCTTCCCCCAGTCTTAAACATCGCACTTTCTCGATGAAATTTTTGCAATCTTTCTCAACACATGTCATGTTATCAAAACCACCCGCCTCGACTACAGTTGAATTAAAGCTTTTATTTACATGTATTCTTGCTATGTCATTCACCTCAAGCTATCTTTTAACATGTTCCCTAAGTTGTCGATTACATCTATACAACCTAGACTTAGATGTGCTTGTTTTATGGTTATGCTCTAAATGCACAACATTTATTCGAAATATTCCATATACATCAAAACACGCAGTCAATCTGGCTTTACACTCATTTTTAATTGTTGGTGGAGGATTCAAAGAAATACTTCTCTTATCGTTTCATCCCCCTTCTCGACTACAAGTAAAACTCACATATCGTACTGTCCCATCTGCTCTCCTCTTCGTATTTCATTTTCTAACAGGAAACCTTACTTGATAAGCATATCTCTTATAAAATTCAAATACCTCAATCTCGTCCGCAAATTTCATACCAACCTTACGCACGAATATCTAATTCTCAACGCCTAACATTTCCTTAGCCAAACCATCGCCACCCACAAAATTAGATGAGTTAACATCCATTCCTACAGGAATAACATTTCACATTAAGCTTTACATTAACAGTACGTAGGAGCATTTGTCAACAATAATGTAGAAGCCAATACAGACAAACAGAGATGAACCAATTGCTTTAAAATCAATAGGCGAAAACATAAGCAACACCATTGAACCTTGAGAAGCAGGACATTTCCTATAATATAAACACGACATTACCTCATCAGTGAGGAATTTCAAGCACGACATTTCCTATAATCTAATCTAACCCTTTATTGTCATTGTGTAAATTACAAAAATTTTACTGCAAAGTTCGCGAATAAACAAAATATATCGTGACCGGCGTTCTTGTCAACCATGTTGTCGGAAACATTATGTAACTCTCCATCCTTTTGGGTATCCTTCTCTGTTGAGACGGAGGAATAAGGGAAAACATATTTTAACAACATAACATGGTTTGTCTACCATTACATTTTGAATGGAAAGGGAAAAAAATTACCACTTGAGTTGGTGGAATCTTCAAATCCACCAACGCTACTTTCAAATCCGCCGACTAGCACATCGAAGAACGAGAGAAATTGCTCGGGTAAGCCATTTATTTCATGGGTGTGGGTCAGACTGGATACAAGTCCTGTGTCGGGAGCAGGAGCGGGGTTGGAATGTAAAGGGAAATATGGCGTAAATGGGTTTTAATTCCACTAGAAGAGAAAGTTTGATGTTTATTATTTTTTTTTCCCACTTTTGCCAAGAAATTGGTTTTGAAAGTAAAAAAAAGGCCACGTAGACTTTATGGACACGCTTATGAACGATGTGATGTATGCCTAGCATTTTTCTAACAATAATGCTAAAAGAATATAGCATTTGACATAGGGGTGACCGAATGGCCACGTGGCACTGGGCCCAGTGCCACGTGGCCATTCGATCATCCCCCATGTCAAATTCTATGTTAACATAGCATTGTCCATTGAAAAAATTTCCTAATGGATTTATTTAAAATTTAATTAATTAATTATATATTTAATTAATTAAATATATTAAGGTCACATATCTATACAATTTGGTCACAAATTAACCATTCAATTAATCACATATTATTTTTTGATCACAAATCAAAATTTTTATATGTGTCAAATTATTTTACGGTCACAATTCAAAAAATGTATAGGTCACAGTCTTTTTATCGATTACAAATTAAAAATTTAAAAGTCACAATTTATTTATCGATCACAAATCACAAATATTATAAGTCACAACTGATTATACTATCACAAATGATCAAATTATGGTCACAAAT